GTTATAGTTTAAATCAATCATCTATTTTTAATTGTTCAGTGAACAATCAAAAAAACATTTCGATCTCATTATTTTCTCATAATTAGAAGAATTGAGCTTTATTATGATGTGTCAGATGCATCGTCTGATTTTTCACTTATTCGATAATTATTACTTTCAAAAAATTGACTCTAATGAGAAATAGATTGTTGAGAAGATTGTAAATTATCAATCGATAGAACAAACACATCTTTTTGTAGTTTTTACATGTGTTGTCAAGATTCAATTACCTTTATTAACCATTAAATGTTGATCATTATTTCAAATGTAATTAATATAAGAAAATGAAAAATACAAAGTTTTAGTTCTCTTAAGAATTCAAATCGATTTCTTCCGTAACTAAATTAGATCGTACACTTTATTATTGAGATTTTTTACATCAGCTGTTGATTTCTATAGCTGGATATTTAAATGCTTCATTAAAAAAATTACAGTTGCTAATTTTTGCTTGTATATTATGATAAGGATCTTTGTCAGAAACAAAAACAAAGTTAACTCATTTTCAATGCTTGTAGTAAAAAAAACTTGTATCTTGTAAAAATGTTATAACATTGTCTTAAATGAAAAATATCATATCTTCTACAAATTATCGAGTTTTTTATAATCATTTATTGCCTGTTAGTAGTCCGATAGCATTAAAACGAGAATAATATGATAAAAATATTGCGAATATTTGTCTGATAAATTAAAACTACTTTTTCACTTTCTCATAATATTCATCAAGAAAAAATCACTTATATTTATTATTTAACGAGAAGTTGTGTGAACATCTTGAAATTAGATGAATATTACACAAAATTATCTTGTTAAAATAATAGAATATGATTAAATTATTTTATCCTACTATCCATTTTCCACCATCGGCACATCTAGAACAGACACATGTTTTACGATTATTTCCTGTTTGACAATAACCAGTACCACAGTTTTGTACTTTACATGAACTAATACGAGTTAATCGAGATGCATAAGTATGAAATTGATCATCGTTCATTCGATTACATGATGGCCAAGTTTGAAAACCTTTCATTGTAATGAAAAGAAAGATAATAACAAATAGAATTTTAAGTAGAACTGATATATTTATTTTATGAATCGGAAGCACTCTATTATAGAATATGTAGACATAGTGTTGAATTTCATTGATTAAAACTGACAAGAAAGGGAGTCTCAGACATCGATGGTAAGTATAAGGAAATGACTACAAATAAAGAGTGTAGTTAATTCTTTTGAGAAACATTTCTTACAAAATTCTTCAATCCATTCCTATTGGAATCTAAAGTTATTTCCAGTAGTAAATATTTGAATGATAGATTTAAAGAAAGATACTTTTTATTCTGAATATGAATCTTAGTTAATAGCTGATCTAACGAAATCGATTAATATAAAAATATCTACTATGCAAGATAATTACGCAGTGAATAGTTAGATAGTGAGAGGTGTATTGCGAAGGGAATTAACCTCCCCAAAATATTAAAAATACTCTCATATGTGCGTATATATGTGAATCACAATCAACAATGAATTTCTATAAACTGTATTACCCCGCATATATGAAGAGTTTGTTGACGTCAATCCATGACGTTAATCAGCTGAAAATAACGAATAAAGAATAGATTTTTTCGTTGCGTATGTTGAATATACGCAATCAAGCATAAACAAAAGCTAAAAATAGTAAGATGTTTTCAGTACAATCGTCATTCTCGCATATGTATATATATGAGACGAATTCTAGTCAGTTTCAATGAAATAGATTCATATAACTGGTTTGTTTATCTAAGAATCTTTATGAACTGCAATAAGGTATTGTTTAGTTATAATCTACGAAGGTTTATATTTAACAATAGGTATTTGAATATGATGAAACACTTATTGGCAAAATCTTCTGATTAAAAATTTGATTTATTTGTCAATATTAAATATGATTTTTGTTTCAGATCTAACTTTTTTAAATTGAAAATATTTCAAGAAAATGAAACTATCATTCTGTGCAGTTTATTTATTTATCGTCATTACCATCAATTTATTTCAATACCAAACATGTTTCAATATGTTCAATAACCAAAATCCATCTTATAACCAAAACCCATCCTATAACCAAAATCCATTCCATAAAAAATTATGTAATACTACAAATCAAAACCAAATTTATCAAAAATTATATAATGCTACAAATCGAACAATATCCTCGTTATTAGCTCCAACATGTTATGAAATAATCCTCAATGAAAGTAATGCACAATCTGAATATACATCCGAAAATTTAATCGGTCGTATAATACCAGCTGGTACATTTGAAGATACGGCATTAGCTCTAGAATATTTATATGCCATTCTTTGTCCAATACCAAATTTACCCCCAGCACAATATACTATTCAAACATATAATTTAACACATGTATCTTATGATCAAAGTTACCTCAGAACTCAAATTATACTTGTACTTAATTTAACTGGTAATATACAATTAACTTTCTTTGCATCATTAGCTTTTGATCAAGATTATAAATTATGTGGTTATGATGGTCAAATACGAAATTTTGGTTTAACAATAGATAACAATACTGCTGGTGCACATGACGCAGCAATAAAGATGTTATGTCCTGTTATTCAAAAATATTGTAATGGAACAAATCAACAATATAATTCAACTGAAGAATGTATAGATTATTTAACAAATGATATACCTTTTGGTTCATATGATACAGCAGATCAAGGAACTGTTTCTTGTCGTCTTATACATGTAAAATTTATTCCATTAATACCTGAAATGCATTGTCCACATGTTGGAAAAACTGGAGGGGATGCATGTTATGATAAGACTGTTGATTTCTATTACAATCAACCAGATTTTCTTGGTTGTGCTCATCAATATAATAAAAACAATTAAAAATATAAAGACATTCGACTTTTTCTGTTCATAATTCATATTTTTTGTAAATAAATCCTAACTAAAAATATTCGACAGTTTAATATAACTTGTAATGTTTAACTAAATATACACAGAATAATTAAAAAGAAATCATATTCAACTTAGTATATATCTAATCTTTCTTCTATCATTATCTATTTAGTAGAAAAAGACAGTGTTAACTATATTTTGTTCAATATTTATTTTTATATACTAATAGAAAGTAAAAACTTTTCTCTTTCTTAATTACATTCATTTCGAATATAAATTATAAATCTATAATTAACTGCTAGTATTTAATAATGGATTCACCCAATTATAATCATAAAATAAAGAGATAAAAATCGTTTTATATGATCTACACAATATGATTGACTATTTGAAATAATAAATAATTTGAATTAAGAATTATTTTTATCTATTAATAATAAATCGTTAATAAAAAACAATAGTAAAAAAAATACAGATAAAACTTATTGTTCTTCTAAACCTGGAATATGTTTATTTCTGAATAATTCAAAAAATAATTTATGATCACGTTGAACTAAAGCTCCATAAACCTAAAATATAAAGAAAAGGTAATATATTTGTTTAGTCAAATAATAGAATTTCTCACCATTCCAAATTCAACCATTTCATTAATAAATTCTTGATCATTTCCTCGAATAGCATCACGAATTGTTTTTTCTACTTGTCGTGGAATTATTGAAAAAGGTAAACAAGCAACATCATTCGGTGTATTTTTACAATCTGAATCAGCTACACAATGAATTTTAGCTAAAATAAAAAGTATATAGAATTTATCATAAATAATATATCTATTAACCTGTTGCTTGTCCTAAATATCCAACAACTTCAATAACATCCTTAAACTCATTGATATCATCCCAATCTAAATCTTCTGCATGTGCTGTAACTTCATCAACTAAACATGGAATAGATCCAATTGATGTATAACCTAACCATTTAGGTGTTGATGCTTGCATTGCATACGAACAAAGAACAGTTCTTAAACCATCATGTTTGAAATATTTTTCTAATTCAGGATTTCGAATAACATAACTAATAGCAGATTTTTGTGCTGGTTTCATATATAAAATAATATCATTTTCTAATGTTTCAGTTGGACCTTCAATTAAAATTGAATAAGAAATTTTTCCAGCTGATCCAACGCCAGGTGATGATCGTGCAACAACATCTTTAACTTTATAATCTTTTCGTCCTTCACTATAACCACTTGTTTTTTTAGATTCTGGTACTGATTTAATATAACTTTCAAAAGCCTAAAAAACAAAAATTTTCATTTTCTTTTTCCTTATTAAAAAAAACCTAATTTTACATTAAGAATGTCTGTTCGTGTAGTATCATCAATATCCTGAACAATTTTTGATCGAATAAATCTTCGATCATAATTTTCAATATTTGTCATTGAATCAAGATGAGCAACATGTGATTTAATCCGAGTTTCATTTAATAATTTTTTTATTTTTCCACTTGTATTTTTTAATGTTAATGCGAAATAATCATTTTTTTGTTTACAAAAATCATAAACTTTTTTTAAATATGATTCAACACAAATACGTAAAATTTCTTCAATTTCACGATCCGAAAAACCTTTACTATGACCAATTAAATATAATGATGCTAATAAACGTTTAACATCCCATGTAAATGGACCACAATAACCTTCATCAAAATCATTAACATCAAAATTTAATATACCATTATTATCTAAATATGTACCAAAATTTTCAGCATGTAAATCGCCCTAGAATGAAAAATAAGAAAATTTTTGTAAATTAATAAAAAGATATTTACATGAATAAAAATATTTCCAGCTGTTTTATTTGTATGAATCCATTGATCTTTATCAATTTTTAAATCTTGATAAAATAAAAGAGCTGAACCTCGATAAAAATTAAATGCACTTGAAGACATTTTTCGAAAGCGTCCACTAAAGGCTTTGGGATTTTTTTTAATATCATCACCAAAATATTTTAAAAATACGTCAATTAAAAATTGAGATCGTTCTTCATCACTTTCTGATCGAATACGATCAATTGCTTTTTTCGAAGCATTACAATCAAATGATAAATTGTCCGGCATAGTTGTTAAACAATTTTTTCTATATTAATCAAATCGTACGAAACGAATATAATAAAAATTGTTTGTACTTTTAAATAATAATCATTTTTTGTTGTTCTTTTATTTTTTTAAGATGAGTAAAAAAAAGTCAGTTGTTTTATTTTGTTTTTTGTACTTTTTACGTCGTGAAGGAGAACGAGAAACTATTGACACTCGTTAACAAGCATGAGTACTGTTATGACGACGAAGAGGAATATTACACTTACATCAACCGGTTTTTTTGATTAATGATGAAATTTTTTAAACGCAAGAGAACGTATACACAGAAGTGATTCAATATATAATATTATTAAAAATATATCAATTATTTTAGAATATTTTATTCATAAATTAACGAGGAGTAGAAAAGTAAATGCATTAGTGAATTAAATAGAAGAACGCTTATTAAAACAAGTATTCATGCAAATCTATCATATATTAATCAGTATATCTATTCTGCAATATGTATTTCATCTACTATTTAATTAAATTTAATGGAGAATTTCAGACCAAAGGCACATCTATGTTAAAATTTTGAGCAAGATCCAACTCCAAAAACGATCATCAAGCCGCAAAATAAAAATATGCGTCTTATCATTATCTCAAGCTTTTATAGAAGGATTTAGCAATTTTTCTTTTGTATATTTGTACATTGTCGCGTCGCTAATGAAAAGTAAATCGAATTTTTTGCTAAACGAAACTGGAAAGTGATAGCTTTTCTCAACAAAGTTCTTTAAAGCTGATTCTTTTAGAATATTTCGAGTAATTTGACATGCATATAACATATAAAAATTAGCTATGGAAATTTTTTCCATTTCTGAAATATACATCTATCAATTTGGTGAAGTCACGTCGCTAACAAATAGTTGCTGATTTTTAGAATACTTAATTTTTATATAATTATTATAAAACATTTTAATAACTTTTAAATTTTATAAAATGAATAATACAAGAGAAATATTTATCGTGACTAAAATATAAATCTAGATTCAGATTCAAAATAAGAATAACTTGGTCATTGTCAGATCATCACCAAAAATATGTTAAGTTTATTCATTACCAATATAAATACTCAACAAAATCATCATATTACGAGAATAGAATTTTTTTCTTAAAAAACATGACAGATCTAGTTCAAATTTAGTTGAAAACAGCGATAAACTTTCTTTTAAGTCATCCGATATAATGACATATCTAATTATCTATTGATAAGAATATTGACGAAATTGTTTATTTATTTTTGAATTAAATTATAACTGTATTTTTTTCGTCAGTGTGAAGCGCACTTGCACTTTTTGCTTGTTCTTTCTGTGAAGAATTTGAAAAAAAAGAGAAGAATCGCTGCTTGTATTTCACTTGTAAGTTTGGGTGAATGTATAATGATTTACTTAAAATGGTTAAACGAGATAATTAAAGAGACGGATAGTGTGTTGTATCCAAATATTTGTTATTTATTAATTTTCTTGGCAACATTACCTATATCAGTAGCTTCTTCTGAGAGAAGTTTCAGTCAATTATCAAGAATTAAAAGCTATCGTCGATCCACAATAAACTAAAACAGGCTAGATGTTCTAGACTCAATTGAAAGAGTATCCTTATAAACCTCGATATTGTACTGGCAATGACTATATGTTTGCTGAGAAATAAGCAAAGAAATTCTTTCCCAAAATTGATTGGACTGTTTTTTGACCAATCAAAAGATTTATTGCGAAAAAATGTACTTTTGACCCTGCGGCAAGCAAGCAAACTATTTTTTTTCTACCTAAGAGAAGTTTGTTCATAAGTCTAAAAATCCTGGCTACGCCACTGTCATACAATAGATGTTAGTAAGCGATCTTAAAATATTGGAATTGAATCATCATAGAAGATACAGACATTTTTTTAATTAAGACAATGATAATATAATAAATCTCTTTTTCGTTATATTTCTTCTGATAATTATCGAATAAAAAGAATCTACATACAAAAAACAAAACAAAACAAATAATAAAGATAATTGTGTTTTTTTTTTCTCATATGACAAATTAATAAAAAATCATCATTTGAATAAAGTCTTGTTTATTTTATTTTAGAGACACGTTAAATAACGAGTCTTTTATAATGATAGAAATTCCACGAAAGAAAAAAAAAAGAAAAGCAATAAATTGTACCTAAAGAGAAAACACACATAGTTTTTTTTGTTTTTGTTGTTGTCTAAAAGGTAAACGAAAGAACATGGACTAGAAGAAGAAAAGAGGCAAAAAAGAAGATAGTAGAAGAAGAAGAAGAAGAAGAAAAGATATATCATTCCGTTAGGAGAATTTTAAAGAGACTAAGACTACCACAACATATGTATGGCACAACATCGAATAAAAATAATTTTTTTAAGATGATGAATTTAATGAAATTTTTTCTTGATTTAAATAACTCATTAATTTTTGTCGAATTTCTCTAATACGTTGAATAAGAAGACGTTTATTTGGAAATAATTCTTCGTTTAATAATTGAAATGATGTTATTGATGAATCTAAAATATTGAAATTTCTTACTAATTTCTTATTTTATTTTTATCTCTTACCAGTCGGATACAATTGATTTTTAAGAAATTCAATAACTTTTAATCTTGATGCTAATTGTATTTTATTTGTTGATTCATTTGTTGAATGTCGAGTTGAACTAGATTTTATATATTGACTTTTCATTTCTAAAAATAAATTTTGTTTATTTATTTTAATTAAAACTAAATATTTACCATCTAATTTTTTCGTATAATCAGTCGTTGGTTGTTTTATATCACTTGGATTTTGTCCACAAACAATAGATGCTTTTCGTTTACGTGTTACAATTGAAGATAAATCATTTATTCCATTACGTTCACTTATACTTTGAGATCGAGTTCTTGGACCTTGATTATCCTAAAATATATTTGAAGTTATCAATCATCTTCGACATTATCTTGTAAAATTTATCTCCAAAACTTCTACACGATTCAATTAAAAGTGAAAACTGCGCAACTGTTTATTTGAACTCGTAGTTTAAGGAATTATTATTTAAAATAAATCAAACCTCGAAAGTAATTATTTTTCGTCGTTTATTCAATGGTTTATCTGAAATTGTTTGTTCCTCTTCTTGTAAAATTGAATTTTTTGAAGTAAAATTATGATCAGTTGAAATTTGATATTTCATAGGTAATATTGGTTTAAATGATATTGGTGATGTTTTACTTCGTTCAGATAATGAACTATTTGAACGTGAACTAAAAGCTGATAGAATTGTACTACTTCCATCAATTGATGAACCACTTGAATAACCTGTTGATGAGGAACATGATGATACTAAAATGAAAAATAAAATAAAATAAAGTTTTTTTTTTCATAAGAAAATATTGTTTACTAAATGAATGTGTTTGATGTTCATTCGAAGAAATTAATTTATTCGATGATTTTAAATGTTGTAATTGTTGTTCAAGATCTAAATTTGCTTTACGTTGATTAATATATAATGAAAAAATAGTTCGACAAGTTTCCGTATCAGATAATTGACAAGGTGAATTTGATAATGAATGTTCAGTTGAATATGATACTTTATCTGATGCTGATGAAACATTATTGCTAATTTCCATTTCTAAATAAATCAATATATATAGAAGAATCAATTCTATAAATTATTTATTTATATTCAAATGTTATACGAAGTATTTTCTTCATAACAAACGTAAAAAGAAGTACTTATCTTCTACTAGACTAAAAATCAAGTCAAATGCGAACACAACCGAGCAATGAATTAATAAGAGAAGAATAAATTAACTGTATTTCTGAATGTATCTTTATTTTTTTATCAAAAATAATAGAATATGAAAACAAACCTTATGACTACTATAACTTGTTTTCTAAATCTATATATTTTAATAATCTTATACGTATTTTATATTTTATCTCTTATGTCAGTGTAAAAGAGAACGATTAAATAGTAAGAAATACAAATAAATCATTTAGAAATCCCAATACTAAAGAATTATTTGATTTTGTCAGATAATCTAATTTATTATAACAATAATTTAATAAAATAAAACAAATAAAATATTCGGAATTTGATTTCATAATAATAATCGAACCCAAATATCCTAGAAAAATGTTTCAAAAACTCAAATTTTCAATAATAATTAATAATATTAACTCGTGACTCATACATATATATATCAATAGGGATTTTAAATCTATCGATAAGTAGTTTCGGTCCACTGATTAGTGTTATTACAACGTTGGGTACATCGACGCCGTATGCACTGAAAGGTCGACTTTTACTAATATCACATATATATCTATTACGGCAAATGTCGGTGCTTCAGTATACATTGTACAAGTAGACTCACTGGCGATAAATAACTGATAGTTTTTTTAGCGATTTTCAAAATCAATCCTTTTCCTAAATATATCAATTCTTTAAAAAATGTTAATATTAATTCGACTAGATTCCAAAAAAAAATTCATCTGATTCTTATTTTTTACCATCATTTGAATTATTAATTTGTAATTGCTCCGAATTATTGCATGATGAATTCACATGAATAGGAACAGGTGTAATAACATTTGTTTTTGTTGAAGTATTTTCTAGCGATGGTTTTGTAATTGGTGAAAAACATTCAGTTAATTTAGGCATATTTGTACAAATCTATTCAATAGAAGAAGAAAAGTTATTCTTAAGAAAAGAAATTATTTTTCAAAATATACTTGTGCAAAAGCCTGAAGTGGATCTGGTGGTGGAGGAGATGATGATGATGAAATATTTTTATTCGTTGATTGTAATCTCGCTGATCGTCTTAATTGTTCATTATTTTGTTCATTGATTTGTTTGGCACGTATTTTATATTGTTGTTGTTGCTCATGTGATAATGAATACCATTTTTCTCCTAAAATTTTTGATACATTTCGATTATCACGATGAGGATTTTCTAAATGAATTTTTCCTCGTTCTTCTTGAGAAAATAACATAAAAGAATTAAT